CTAATGTGCCACATGTGTAAAATATAATAAAGGGAATAAAAAGGGATTGGATTTTAAACTTTAGGAACTGAAAAAGGATTTCTTAAATAGAGGGACTAAAAGGGGCTTTATATTAAAGTAGAGGAACCAAAAATGAAGTTTTAACCAATTTTTTTCATTGTTTTATTATTTAATTAAGCTTAAAATAGTTAACGAAAAAGTTAGTAAAAGGTTAATGAAAATTGAAAAGTTAGAGCCGTTACTGTTGTCAGTTTTTTGTTTTTTGTTTTTTATTGTGCAAAATTGCAAATTATTAAATTAAAATTAAAAAAATTAACAACTTAAAAAAGTTTTAATTTTAGTTGTCAAATTTAAAAATTCTTACTTGACAAGGTGTAAATTTTTATTTTTAATTTTAGTTTTTAATTGTCAATTTTAATATAATAGAATTAGTTCATTATCAAAAAATACTATAAAATTAGTTAAGTTTTTCATGTTTTAATTCATCTAATCCGTTAATCAATCAATTAATAAGGTCAGTGGCAGTGTGGGACTAATGCTTTCAACGCGGACTCATTTTTTGCCTATGTCATCACTTTTAAGAATTTGAATTTTTCATGTGATTAATGCAATTGGAATTGCAAAAAATTAAAATCTCTTGATAATTAAAATGTTAAAATTATTTATGTAATTATTTAAATATTTTTAATAAATTAATATATTAAAAAATTTATTAAAGATATTTAAATAATTTTATAGAGTCTTACTATATTAAATGTCAAGATATATTATTTTTACTTTTTTTCAATATAATATGCTAATCTTTTTTTGTTAGTTAACTTTCTACATAGTTAAAAATTTGATATATATGGATGTCTTAAGTAATTAAAAAAATAATATTTTAAACTAAAAATTTTGAATTTGAATTTTGAGGCATGTGAAGAGAGATTAAGGAAAGAAAATAATTATTTTTTATTATCTAATCTATTATTAAATGTATCAAAAAAGAAAATAATTAAAAATTTAATAAAGGAACTGAAATATTAATAAAAAAATAAATTCATTAAGGTTTTTTTAACTTATGTTTTTAACCGTGAATTTTTATTATTAATTTGTGTAAAAAATAAAACTTAATTTTAATATTACTAATGACCTAAATTCATATAAATATTAATGTGAAATTTTTATTTTGATATTATTGATATTTAAATGAGTTTTATGATATTTTACTTGATTTTACATAATTTTTATTTTTTGTGTAGGAAAAGACTTAATTGAAAGAAATTATAATTTTTAGAAGCAAATTACCAATATCAAAAAACTGAGGATTAAGTTGTGTAGAATCCAGAAGTTAGGGACCAAGATTGTAATTTGACCATTAGCGGAAACTGCTTGGAAGGTCAAAAACCCGAGATGTTGGTTGCAGTGCGCGCTTAACATAAGGTGGCGGCACCTAGCTGACTATTAGTTTATATTATTGATTTTAATACATTGAAATTTAATCATTTTTTAATTAATTTAGTAATTTATGTATAAATTTAAGAAAAAATTACGTAAATTAAACCAATAATAATATAAATCATATGTTAGACTATAAGATCGATGGATAATTAATATCATATATGGTAGTAGAGGAAGTAAAGAGAGTTAAGAGCTCCTCTTTTTAAGTTAGAGGTTTTCATAAAATTTAATACTTATTAATTTATTTAAAATTACATAGAAATGTGACTAATTTAACAAATAAATAAATGATTAATTTGACTTGAAAAAACTAGTTAATTAATTTATGGAAATCTAACATCACATGTAATAACACTCAACAAATTGGTTTTAAAAGTATATTAACCCAAAATTTATATTGATTGATTATGGGGAAATTGGTGCTTTAGCATCTCATATCTTAGTTAAGTTTATTTTAATTGCTATTTTCTTTTTATTATTTTTAATTGAAGTTTCTTCCTTTTTTATTGTTCAAATAAATATAGATTAATTATTTTGGTACTTAATTATACACAATCCTTGTGGGTTCAACACTCTTCTCATCATTATATCACTTGAAACCACTAGTACACTTGTTAAGGTGATTTTAGTGCATCAAGTTTTTAGCGTCATTGACGAGGATTGTTGATTTAATTAATATCGAAGTTGGTTAATTCTATATTTAATTTGAACATTTTCCTTTCTTTTATTTCTTTACTTTGATTTTTTTTTTTTCATTTCTTTTGTTTTTGTTTTTATAGGTTTAATTATAGATCGAGTTGTCATAGACACTCATATGAATTATCAATATTTTGGTCCAAAGTTAATGGCACAAGTTGAAGCAATAACTATCAACTGGGAAGTAAAAATTGACAATGATGAACTTGAACGATTTCAAGCAGTCATTGAAAAGTTTGAATTAAAAAAGATTATAATAAAACAATTTAATATTACTTGGCGATGGTGTGAATTAGACCATTTTAGTTTTGATTGCTATTTTAGACCATCTAATAAACAAGTAGATTTTTCTTATAAGTTATATTGCCAACATTGTAATTTTTATCCTGATACATGCAACTTTGATTGGATAAATTATCCAAACTCCTCATGGAATAATGAAAATATGCTAGAGGCACAATCAAGATTTCAAGCTCAAGAAGAGGATACATGTTTGGATAAAAATTTGGAAGTTCAATCAAGTTATTTGCTCAACTTAGTTGCTGAAGAAATACAAGGTGAGTTCCCTAGTGCAACAATGACAAATCAAGATGAGGTAAACATTTTACCCTTGGAGATTGAAGGACAACTTGGAGAAGTGAAAAGCATGCCTGTAGAAACTAAACAAGAGGATGTCCCTAAAGAAGAAGAGGAAATAGCTCAAGTGTCATTTGAAGTGTCCAATGGGGAGTCTTTGTTAACAAATCTGATTTTAATGATTATTTTGTTATTGATATGGTTGATGAAATTTTGTAGGAAAACACTTATGAGGGTCCACTTGAGATTTATCTTATTCAAGCAAAGGACCCAGTCAAAGAATACATAAATTTCTTGAACACATCATCATCTTCCTTGGAATCAAATGGGGCAATCCTAGATGAATTGGGAAGGCACATCTCTTGGCCTAAACTCAAACACCACAGAATAGTCCTTGGAGAAAATCTTATGGTCAATTCAACTTAAGGGCAAGAAAGCTAAGATTTAAGAAAACAAGAGGACATGTCCCATAACCTGATTCAAAACCACCTTAGAGTGGTAGAAAGTCTAACTAATGACTATAAATTAAGCGCTTCTGAAGAGGCAACCCAAGTATAAATGTTTCTTTTCTGTAATTTCTTTGCCTTTTATTTTATTAGTTTAGATTTATTATTATTTTTTCATGGCCTAGGTTGATGCATAAATGTGGAGAAATTCACATTTCACTAAGAGGTGATTTATTTGATTAATTGAGCATTGTTGCTTATAAATTATTGTTCCTTAATTTTGACTAGGTCATTGAACAAGTATGGGGGATGAGATTATGGAAATTCACATGCTTAAAGTCTCCAATTGAAAAGACAACTCAACTTTAAAACTTAAATTTTAAGTCTTCAAGTGCAAAACCTAGGAAGTGTCTCTCTTGTTTTACTTTTGTTTTACATTGAGGACAATGTTTGATTTAAGTTTAAGAGAGAAAAACTTTTAAATGTCTATTCTTATATTAGTTGCATTCATATTTGCATGACACATTTTTTTTTTTTTTAGAAATTAGGGTTTTTTTTTTTAGGAGTTGGTTCAATTAGTGTCAAGAAAATTGAATATTCTTAGTTGGAAATTCAATAACTTTTAAATCTTTGAATCCCAAAAGAGATACAAAATTTGAAACAAAATTTGAAAGATAACACCATTGTGATGAACTTTAAGTTCATGAATATTATAACTCACTTAAGTACAAGTTTGTAGTGAGAAGTTTAGAAGAAGGACTTAGTAGCACCTAAAAGGCACAGAAAGAGAAAAAAAAAAAAAGAAAAAAAAAAGGAGAAAAAGAAGCCAACACACAAAAGAGTATATTAATTTCTACTCCAATGTTTCTAGTTGCTTAGTAACTGGAAGTTAAGTATGAGATCCATATCAACTTTCACATCAAATGATAACTTGAAATATGAGAATGCAAAGCACTTTAAGTTTATGACTTGTTTAGTAATCGGGTGCTTTCATAACAAATGTTAGTATTCGCATTAAAAGATAAGTAATAGTTTTGGAAAGAATGTGTTGTGTGGATAAAAAAGAAAAAAAAGAAGTCGAATGTTTCATGACCTTTGTTACTTGGGTAAATATGTTCTTAGGGGTGTCTCTTCATCTAATGCCCTAAAACCAACTAGTTTGGAAGTCATAGGCAGAAAACTCATTACCTGAGTAAATTAGAAAACCTAAGAAAACTCAATACATAAATAATAATAATAATAATAATAATAAATGCTATGAAGGTCTAAATTTGAAACTTTTTACTATAAATTTTCACACGCACTAAGTGGTCATGAGCTAAATCTTTTGACAAGTAGTGTGAAGAATAAAGTGGAGTATTTTGCTTTAAGTGAGTATATGAGAACTCTTAAATATTTGAGACTTTGTATCTAATTGAAATTTAATTCTTAAATTTTCTTTGCATACATATCTTGTAGTTGTATTCTTATATTGAGATTTTATGAGTAGATCTGCTTAAAAACCCTCACGAGATACAATTCGTCCACTAGACTAACATAGGGATTTAAAGGTTTGTTGCATATATTAAATGCAATTGTGATTCATATGAAAGCGAGTTGTGTTTTATTTTTTTTTATTATGTTTTTTATTTTACTTGAGTAAAACTTATATCTGGAAAAATTATCAATAATTTACTTAAATCATTACATATAATAATAATATCAAAAATAAAATTTATTTTCATAATTTTTCATATTAAAAATTTAATAAACAAAATCTTCAACTTCCGTACATATAGATAGATTAAAAAATTCTGGTCCACTAATTCAGAGGCTATAAAAAACTGCTCCGTATAAAGACTCAGTAAGCAAGATGAGGTTTTGCTATCAACGGCGTTGGGGGGTAGCCACCCTAAATGGCAATATCACCGCTTTCCCATCACCCACTTCTCAGACTCCTCCTCGTCGCCATTCTCCTTTCTTTCTTCTACTTCCTTGGCTCCAATATCAACTCACCTATTTCCTCATCTTCTAGCCGCAGTTACTCACGCCCTTGTCTGCAGCTGAATTTTTCTAATCAGAGCTACTTTTCACCGCCTCTTGACTTTGAACCACACCACTTACTACCCTTTTCTCATCAGACCACCCAAACCCTCCAGTTCTTTCCCTTTTGCTCCGGCAACTTCACCAACTATTTGCCATGTCATGACCCATCAAGAGAGAAGCAATTCGGAGTTGGGAGATTCTTTCACCGAGAACGGCATTGTCCGGAAAGTATTGAGAAGCCGAGATGTTTGGTACCAAAGCCGAAGGGTTACAAGAGACCGTTTCCGTGGCCCAAGTGCAGGGACTATGCTTGGTTCAAGAATGTACCTTCTAAGAAACTGGCTGAGTACAAGAAAACACAGAATTGGGTTAGATTGGAAGGCGAAAGGCTGTTTTTTCCTGGCGGTGGAACTTCTTTCCCCATGGGAGTGAAGGGTTATATAGATGTGATAAAAAGGCTTCTGCCGCTCAAATCTGGGAGGATTAGGACGGTTCTTGATGTTGGATGTGGGGTAATGTGACTTTTCTTCGGTTCAATTTCTTTTTAGAAATTGTTAATGATAGCATTTTATCTCTTATTTGGAAAGAATTATAATGAGGCATGCTTCTGGTTATATTTAGTTTTATTTAAATATGTTAGTAGTATCTTTCCATTCTAGTATTTACTAATTTGTTATGTCTTTTAGATATCTTAATTATCTAGGGCAACTAAGAGATGAAAATATTTTAAAAGATTGTTTTATGAAAATTTTGGATTACTTTTCTTCATAATTTGTAGACATGCTTCCATGTTAGATTTTCATTTTGATTGGATGATGCATTGATAGTTTATGTTAGTGCAAAATTTGACAATCTTGAATCAGTTCTGGCAGCCAATGTTGCATTTCATGTAAGTAATTTCTTTTATACTCTATCTTAATTGTGGAAATGGAATTAAGGAGAAAATTAATCTAAATTTTGTCGCCTTTCTATGACTAGGGCTCCAGTAGTGACCCATAAAGCAATTGAGGGTGGTATTCTACACTGCTATCTGCTATATATTTTATTTTGTAACTGGATTTTTGTTCATTGATAGTTCTCTGTTGCTTCAAAATGTGGTGAAGTGGCTGCTGTAAATTTATCTTTTGTATCTCATGTACTGCTTCAGTTTTGGCCTTGATTACAAAAGGTGAACATTGAGTCACATTATGCCACTAAATGGCAAAAGGAAGCTTGAGAACCATTTTAACTGATATAAATTATCTGATGTATTGAGGAAGATAAAATTGAGTGGAGCATGGCTTTTGCTTCAGTTGGGATGATAGTTTGAGTTTTCCATTTTCTTTTTAAAAATAAAATTTTGATCCTACTTTTTTTTGCCCATTTTAGACTTGGTATATATCACTAAGTTTTGTTTTACCTTTTTCCCTGTTTTGATTTATTTTCCCCCATATAATTTGTGTGAATTGTTTGTATTATAGTGAAAAGAGTAGTGCTCTCTAGTTGTGAGTTCTCTGTTGCTCCAAATGGCCTTTGTCCTTGTACTCTTGCAAATTTCTAATGCTTCTTTTGCCTTTCTTTCTCAAAAGATTGAATTTTTAGGTCTGTTATGTGAGGAGATTAGCTTTCTTACATGTTAAGTGCCAGTTTATGTTGATTTGATTATTTTTCCAGTTGAACATGATTAGAATGTGAATAATATGAGTTTTTGCTGTGTGGCTTTCAAAGTAGTAGTACTGTATAACACCCCACCCCCTCCCAACCAAAAAAATAAAAACAAAAACGTCAAAGAATTCATTCTTTTTATCAACAAAAGAATTCTTTCATTTTTGATTGTTTAGTGATAGGTCTCTGTGTTAGTTTTTGACAGTTTCCACCTCCCTCTCTCTTCCTTTTCTGTGCATGTATTTGTGAATTAAAAGGTTTTTACTCAGACTTGGAAAGGCAAAATGCAGTTTCTGCTATCTTAGCTTCTAGGTTTTTTAAGGTGGATTAGTTTGAATTTTGGATTGAGCAGGCTTGCATTGAGGCAACTGTTTTAGGGGTATGACTGATTTAGGTTGTGTTTTGGAGCCCTGTGATGCTATGGCTGTGGCTTTTCTGTGTTCATCTATTGTAGAAACTATGTGCATGTTTAATAATTATTTTAAAGAAGTGCTGTACATCTTTATAATTATGAAAAAATATAAAAAAATTAGTTAAAATTAATTTAATTAATAATTACAACAAATTACATTTTTAGCAATGTGAAAAGTACTACATATCTGCTCTTTCAGCTTCGCTTGCTCTTATTTTAAGTACCAGATGTAAGTTTCTGTTTTGGAGTGATATTAAGTGTTACATGTAATTTCCTACATGAAATTTTCTTGGTTGCTATGTGCATTTCATTTCCACTGATTGATTTCTTTGAGTGAAACTTCCACGTGCTATTATTTGTTTTCTTCTGGCCAACACCTTTTATTATTTGTTTGAATCTTTAGTTTTGGTAGGTAGACTGAATGCGTGCAATCCATTTGCTATTTATAATTTGGTTAGGTTGGGAAAGCTAAGGTTTACCTTTATCTCTCTCTATACATGTATAATTTCATATTTTTTAGGTAACCCTCATGCACCCTTGATGCACATTTCTTCCCCACAATCCTGGATCTGCCTTCTTTTCATACCTTTTAAAAATCTCAAAACTGTAGTTAGTTCTCTTTCCTTTCTTATTTTACTTCCTTCTTCCAGATCTTTAGATAGTTTTTTCTACCTTGATCAGTCCATAGACGTGGCTCCATTTCAAGGGAAAGGGCAAATGATTTTGCTTCATTCTTTTTTCCCAAAATAGGAAATAAAGTGAGAAGGGTGAGCTTTCATAGCCTTAGAGCTTATTTTATTTTATTTTATTTTATGTTATTTTGGGAGAATTCAGCCATAGAATTGGAGATCCATTCCCTTCCTTGAAAATTAGAGTCAAATCCAAGTAACTTTTTATAATTTATGTGTGCTGAAAAGTTACATCCTTTGCAGGTGGCAAGCTTTGGAGCCTTTCTCATGGACTTTAACATCTTGACAATGTCAGTTGCACCAAGAGATATACATGATGCTCAAGTACAGTTTGCTTTGGAAAGAGGACTTCCAGCCATGCTTGGAGTACTAAGCACATATCGTCTACCATACTCCTCAAGGTCCTTTGATATGGTTCACTGCTCCAGATGCCTTGTCCCATGGACTAATCATGGTACCATTGCTTGTCTTAAGAAATCTACAGTATGCACTTCCATTTTCTTTTGTTCTGACATTTTAACACACCAGTCCTTGCAAATTTTTTTTCCTTGAGATTAAGAAAGGCCAATAAAATATTCTCTGCCTGTAGTGGAAGGAATATATTTCAAATGCTATGGGAAAGACAGTAGGATCATGTTACAGTCTACAGTTAAATTAAAAAATATTTTACTTTCCTTACTCTTTGTATTTTTTTCAAAAATCAAAATGGTCAGATGGACTTTATCTTCTGGAGATTGATCGGCTATTGCGTCCTGGAGGCTACTGGGTGTTGTCAGGGCCACCTATAAATTGGAAGGTTAATTACAAGGGTTGGGAGAGAGAGGCTAAGGATTTGGAAATGGAGCAAAATAGGTTGGAAGATCTTGCTAAGAGATTGTGCTGGAAAAAGATTGCTGAGAGAGGACCAGTTGCAGTGTGGAGAAAACCTACAAATCACTTGCACTGCTCACAAAAGTTAAGAACATTCAAATCACCTCAATTTTGCACCACATCTAATCCTGATGCTGGTTGGTGAGTGTCCAATTTTTATTGAGCCTGATTAGCATTAACACATAACCTATATGATTGATCTAAACACAGGAATCCCTAATAAGTTTAGCCATTTAAGTTCTGACATGCATTTTTTCCTATTTACCAAAGTCCAAATGACCTGATGTTCATAAACACTTAATGATTAGTAATGTAAATTTTTGAATTTTCATTTTAACTCTTGCTTGACAGCTACTGAAGCATCAATTTGAAATCTGTGGCATCTTAAGATTGAATTGTCAAATGAGGTGGTAAAAGAATTCTTAGCAACATTATTAACTGTCCAATCTTCAATGTATAGAAATAATTTTTTTTTTTTAATGTTAATATACCTATATTTTATATGAAAGAGAGTTCCAATTGTTGCTAATAATCAAGCTGTATAATTTTGTTCTTTTTGATCCTTTAACAGGTACATAAAGATGGATCCATGCATTTCACGTCTTCCGAGTGTAAACGATATCAAAGATATATCTGGAGGTGATCTTCAAAATTGGCCTAAAAGGTTGAACTCTGCTCCTCCCAGAATTAAAAGTGGAACCATAGAAGGCATTACCACTCAATTATTTGACGAAGATAATCAGGCATGGAAAAGAAGAGTTTCATATTATGGGGTTATACTGAAGTCTCTTTATGATGGTAAATATAGAAATATCATGGATATGAATGCTGGCTTAGGAGGTTTTGCAGCCACACTGGTCAAGTATCCAATTTGGGTTATGAATGCTGTTCCTTTTGACGCAGAAAAGAACACCCTTGGTGTTGTATATGAACGTGGACTTATTGGAACTTACATGAATTGGTAAGACCTTACAAAAATTTTATTTTCTCCCATTTATGTTCCAATAACTGTGACAAGACTAGTTGTGTGTGGCAGACTAAAGGTTTTGAGTAGAACTAGAAGATAAAGAAACGAAGGATTGAAAACTTTAGGAGTCACACTTTGGTATGCCTAGCAGTCACACCTAAGTTTCACTGCATCACACAATCTTAAGAGCACAATCTTGCTGAAAAAATTCTGGAAGAAACTTCAGCATATCTAACTCAAACAAGGAAAATAATTCCTATTCCAACTAGTCTTTTAACTTCAAGTTCTTAATGCAATTACTACATGGACTCTCAATAAAAGGCCTGATCCTAATAAAAGTTGGAAAATAATTATAGCCTGAAATTATATATTTCCTGTGAAATTGAATATTAATAACTAAATGCTCATAATTACATGTTAAGCCTAAATAATGTATTTAATTCTTCTAAGGGGTTTTTGCTGAATCAGAATGAACTGTTGGTTACTTTACAAGGTTAGACAATTGAACTCATTTTGAAGATATTCACCAATGGTCCTTGCAAATTGAACAGAGTGCGGGTTGGGTTGCCTAAGACATAGGTCACATGGGATGGGTAGAATTCAGGTTTTGATGCTGATCTGGTGATCCTAACAGATTAGGGTTAACCTGGGTTGACTTAAATTCTTTAAAGAATTTTAAAGAACTTTAAGGGTGAGAAAAGGCCAAAATTTCCACATTGACAATTGAAAATTTTCCTACCAGGCAATTAAAAGGTAAAAATCCACAAGAAAAAGAAAAAGAAAGAGTACTGCTAATTCAATGCATTGGTCTCCCATGGTAATACCAAATCCCAAAATGCCATTGCTATCTTACAAGAAAACCCAAAACAATGACCGCCAGTGATCAGGTTCTTATTTTTGCTTGTTTTAGATTTGGGATTGTTGCTTTTCTCTTTTAAGGTAATATGATTCATGAAGTTGCTTACCATCCTAAATCTCTCATTGTAAATTTTTCAAATTCATGACATGTGCATGTACATACACACTTACATATGAGTTATTATCAACTTACACCCTTCAGAACAAGGAACTCTTACACATGCTTATAACTTTTAATATAGTTAATATTTTGAAAAAACAACCATTGATTAATTGTTCTTTTAATGTAGATCATGTATGTCAAATTTAATATTAATTGAATATGTTTAACTATTTCATTGATTACATAAAATTCTTTGTCATTAATATATATTAGAAAATACAAACTTTTTCAATCAAATGTAGATCAGTTAGAAATGTGGTACATGTCTATAGCAATCAATCCAACATATTCTTAAACAAGTCTAAGTTGATCCTGATTATTTCCCTGTCTCTCCCTATGGGTGTGGAGGGAAAAGATTTATCAGTCTATACTGACAAAAAAGGTGTTAGTCTGGACAAATCTCGGTCCCTAAAATTTTGTTTTATTTTTTTAATTAGGTCCTTGACAACAAAAGCAATATGACATCAAACGAGTGGATGTATATGGATTCACAGGTCCAATCTAGTGAAAATAGTTAAATCATAATTCATGTCACTTAAATGATATTGTTGTCAGTGACTAAATAGAAGTTAGGAACAATATCTGTCTGGATTGACACCTTTCTTGGTCAATCTGGACTACGAAACCTTTTACCATACATGTTTGTAAACAATGATTGCTGGTGTTTAAATTTCTCCTCATGCATTGGATCCATTTATCTCAGTTCTTTTTTTGTTCCCTGTCTCCACCAATTGCCATGATTTTTTTCTTGGATTAGTCAATACAAAACTACTTGATTTTCAATTTTAAAATGTTACGCAAATGTACGTTCATACACACGTATGCTTGTAGCACCTTTTGGTTGTTCCTTTTTTTTTTTTTATCTCTTTTACAAAAGTGAAATAATTTGTTGTTTGACAATGCTTACTTCCAGGTGTGAGGCTTTCTCAACATACCCACGGACATATGATTTGATACATGCCAATGGTGTTTTCAGCATGTACATGCACAAGTAAGTATTTTGCTTAAATCTGTTTCATTGCAGCTATTCTTATGTTCCCAATTATCAAAATTCAAATCTGTCTCCTGTCATGGCCAAAGAAGAAAAAATCACCTACAGGAAAATGCTTGTAACAGAAATGTCTATGGTGAAGTCCACCAGTCCTTGTGCATTTGTTTTAGGACATATAATTATCCACAATCTTTTATAGTTCAGTAACAAGGTTTGCTATTACTCCCTCAATTCAAGTTTAGTATGTCCTACTTTCTAATTAGGGCTTTCAAGCTTAGTTGTTCTACTTTCTAATTAAGGGTGTCATTTAAAGCTCTTATTCCTATTTACCCTTATTTTAAGATGATAATTGCAGCACATTAAAATGAGAATGTCTATTTAAATAGTAGTAGTTAGTGATTAGTATGAACTTTTATCAATTAATTATTACATCCCTATTTTATTGGAGGAAAAAAAGTATGGAAACTAAAGTTGAATGGAGGGAGCACTATTTCTCGAAGTTTGCTTGATATAAAAACATGATATATATCTTAGATGTTCCAACTCCTGAAGACAAAATCATTGGTTTGTGTAGCATAAAGTTCATGAGAGGAATTTGTTTCATTGTCTGTACTGTTGAAGTTTCTTTGGCTATAAAACGGCAGGAAGAAACTGAAAGCATCAAGAATATCTCACAAATAGTGTTGCTTTTTTTCGCTCCATTCTTTAACCTATAGAGAGCCCATTTAACTATAATTTTTCTCCTTTTTTTTTGGGGGAGGGGGGGGTGGGGGGTGTTTTACTTCTGTATTTTAAGTATATTCCTTTTGTTTGAGTGTCAATTCAACCATTTGAATAAAAGAAAAAAGCACTGCAACTTTGAAAATGCAAGGCAAGGTAAATGTGAATGGTTTTTTACCTCAGCTTTCTTACTTGAATTTATCACATTTGAATCAGGTGCAATATTGTTGATATCCTCCTTGAGATGTATAGGATTCTTCGCCCTCAGGGGGCTGTCATAATTAGAGATCATGTGGACATTATTGTGAAAGTGAAAGGCATTACAGATCAAATGAGATGGAATGGCAGGGTTCTACACAGCGAGAATGGCCCTTTCCATCCTGAGAAGATACTATTGGTTGATAATTCTGAGTAGGTAATTTACTAATAATGTCTCATTATCCAAGCCAGTTAGTTAAGTTCGTTGAAAGATTGCTAGGAAGTGGAAGGACTACAGCTACTACCTGCACTACATGAGAAATTCCACCACCAATAAAAAGGATAATTTCATTTCAAGATAGGATGTGCGAGGGATCTACATGCTTCATTTTTGAGGCAGGTGATTGAGGTTAATAGTGTTGCTTTTTCCTAGATTTGTTTTAAGTTGGGATTGTTGATAATTTTTTTGAATGCACAGTGTAGGTCTTTACCTGTAAGAAATCGGTCTCTGCACATCTTGTATTTGAAAACCTTTATCTGAATGATTTTATCGACCTATATTGTTTTTTGGTTCTACAAATGCAGCAATGGTTTAGCCATTTTTGTCCAGTTTTGGCTCAAGTTGAATTTTCTCACAATAAATGGCACTCAAATTCTAATTAAATGAAACAGACGTTAATCATTTTCGTCCTCTTCATGGAGGCATGCCCTGAGGAAGGTTTGATCCTGTATATTCTCTCCAGCCTTCAAACAAGATCAGTCACAAGCACCACAACTTCGACATCAACATTGGGCTAATTTCTTGGCCAAGTTCCCATCGTGTTCATTTCTTCTTCATACCACAACCCTTTTTTCGGGGTAAGTGATGAATGTTGAAAAGCATGTCGTAAACAATATTTCAAAGTTGTAATATTTGCACTCCATTTGTCCATGCAAACAAAGAAATGAAGAGTCCCATAAAAGAAAAAAATAAAGAAGGAAAGAAATAAATGAAGAGAAGCAACTTTTCCTCGTCATCCTTGTATTTTTGTGAATTTTGGGCAATGCAGGCTGGGATTGAATTGGAAAAAATGATAAAAGCACTGTGTCATGTATGATATTTCATAGGACTGAATACAAATTTATCCCATACTTATTTTGACAATGGAGAAGATTACATGGGATAATCTTCATAAATTATGTATGTGGACAAAATATCATAGTTTAGCAAAATGATTCGGACAACTTCTGTCTCAACAAGCACATCAACACTTAAGCCCATTTATCCATTAAAATATAACACTAAGTGCAGTGGATTCAATTGGTTCTCTTATGCTATATGCATAAGTTTTTATATCTTTAATTTTATACTAAAAAATAATAACTCTTTGATGAGTTTATTACGGAAAGTATTGATCCAAAAGGTGTGTATTGATGTTATAATCAAAAAATTTAAAACTTTTTAAAGTCATTAAAATTTTTGCTAATATAGAAAATATTTAAAAATTTTCAATAATCACTAGATTTTATCTACATTGGAAAAAATGTACTTAATTAACCTTAAAAAATATTAATTTATCAAAATAATTTATTAAAATGTCCACAAAAACACTCTATTTATATAATATAAAAAGAACAATCCAAATTCATATTTATCAAAATAATTCATAAAAAATTACCATATTTGAAACTTAGAGAATAAAATTGAAAGAAAATATGTAAAAAATTGAAATTGACATACTAAGATTACCAAAATAATTAATATAAAAGTTCACAAGGTAGCTTCTTGAATCTCTTGTAGTATGGATGCCTAGATTGAAATATATGAATAAACCTTTAGCAAAAGATAGGGCAAACGATACAAACTCGGCACAAAGAGAAATGAGTAAATGAAGCTTCCTATTCAACTGTAGATGTTAAAACAGAGCATCAAAGCAAAAGATCTATTTCTATTTTCCGAATATCCATTCATAAAAAAAAAAAAACACAAAGTACAAAAATTTCCTAGTCAAGGAAATGGAGCGTGTGTGTGTGAGTGAAGAAGGTGAAGTCTAAGAGAGGAAAATGTGAGCAAGTGTGAAATAAATGAGAGAGAATGGGTGGAGGGGACATCCTATCACTAGCTTCATGTGGTCTCCTTGGGTTGCCTCTAGGTTTTGATCCTCCAATGGGAGTGTGCCACTTGTTTATTTCCGAAGTGTTCCTCAAGCAAGATAGTTATTTACGATATTTCACAAGATTCCTGGGGTTGAGTTTGGACCAGGTTTCTACAAGCTTGACCCATTCGTCTTTCCCTTGTTAGATTCTAGGTATAATTAGTGTCAATCAAGAAAAACAATTTTTAATATTTATGTTTGATAGTTCAGTACATGTTGATCTTAAGAATGGTAATGAAGATAGAATGAGTTAGATAACTACTTTTTTTGTTCTTAATGCTTAATCTTAAGGTTGATCTACAGGAACTACCGTTTCTTAGTTGTTGGAAATATTGGTCACTAATTATACCTTTCGTTTTCTTTTTTAATTTCCAATGCCTCTTTTCCAAGAAAGGTTGGTGTTGACCTATTAAGTTGTTGCAGTCCCTCTTTTTAATAAATATTTTAATATTAAAGTGTAAAACTTCTCTTTCATTGTCTAACTACATTCATGCTATTGTGTTAAATGGTAAGCAACTACATTGTTCCACTAATGTAGTTAAGACATCATTTAGTGTTTCTCTTTCATATGCTCCTTGTGGGACAATTATCTATAAATCAATGGTTGTGCATTTGCCTTTAGTGAGAAGCTAGTAATAGAGAGTATGGTCTCTTTGTTTTGCCTTTTGATTTCTGGATATCAAATTTGATCACTTTAGAATGCTAGTCATTTTTAGCTTTTTTTTTTCCTTTTGTTGTTAAATTTGAGTGCAATATTTGACATTGTTGAAAGTAATCTATACATTATACTAAAATGCTTGGACTGGTAGTTTAATTTTTCTCTCTTTAATGTGACTTTAAATTTTTGTATTAGACCTTGTGCATGTGATTCTTTGTAACTTGATTTTTCTATATGCAAGTAGTTAACTCCACTAGATCTAAGCTTCCTAATTTTTGATGGTTAAATTAATGGACTAGTGTGAGATAAGTCTTTTACACATTGAGGTTACAAATTAGAAAACTTATGATTCAAGTAGATACTTTGCATTAGAGTTACTAGTTTAGGAAATATAGTAAGGTATATCAATCCACTTTAGGTGAAAAGGCAAAGGTAGAAGTAGAGCTAGACATTAAGGCTTCCAAGCTAACCATTGCAATTGTGACACTGTTGGTGAGACATACGACCTAGTGGGATGACATTGAATGGCATATTACATGTTTCAACACCACATTAGAACCAAAAGACTAGCCCAATAGTTCCATAGGTTTTCACATATTTAATTACTCTTTCCTTTTATACTAATTTCTTCAATGTGGGATCTTAGTTCTTCACACTCACAAGGGAAACATACTTCAAGACTCCCCCTTTCACTCGTGAGTTATGAAGACCTTCATGAGGGTTCATCCTTTTTTTTTTTTTTGACATACATACATGACATGGTCCTTGGGTATACTCATCATGGGCACAACATCATCCATGGGTATACTCACCATGGGTTTACACATCATAACTCTCACTTTGCTAGGCCCAATCCAAGACCGAAATTACCACTGGTAGTGTTATGCCATTGGCTCTGATGCCATTTGTTGGGAAACATACGGCCTAGCAAGGTGACATTGAACGGCCTATTACATGTTTTGACACCACATTGGAACCAAAAGACTAGCCTAGTAGTTCCATAGGTCTTCACATTTTTAAGCCACTTTTTCCTTCTATATTAATTTCTTCGATGTGGGATCTTAGTTCTTCACACTCATAAGGGAAATATACTTCAATAAAAACACCTTGCAAAACTTCAAAGGTTGTGTGAGGGATATAAACAAGAAAGGTTCAAACAAATGATAACTGCAAGAAACAAAAAATAATAAATTTCTTTCCTGTTAAAATCTCTTAAATATTTAATAAGACCTCTTATACCAACAGTGAGGTCTCCATAGAGGATTCAAAGAAGTGTCATGCTGCCACATCTTTAGCAACTTTAAAGTAGTTTGGCAAATTGCAAAATGTGACAAAGATGCTAATTTCTACAACAAATGACAATCAAATGACAATAGGGTTAGAGTGTAACCTCATGATCACACTCAGAAGGCATGGATTGTAATTGCAACATGCTATCAAATCACCCGTCTCCTTCTTCTGATACCAACATGCATATTTTGTTTGCTATGTTTAGAAAGTGTTTGTGACAACCATGTTTCTTTAATGGTTAAAGCCCTTCCATGTGGTTAAAGGTAAAGTATTTATGCAAAGTCATTAATTTGAAGGGAGAGTTCCTTCCATTCTTGGGGGTAACCAAGTAAAATTGAATAATAGAGATTGCATGATCTTGTTGTAAGCAATGTGTCTCAAACTCTAAGAATGGAGGCAACAAGGCTTGTACCACTACAACCTTATGCCAATCTAAGCATCAAATCAATTCTATCACAGCAAAAAGATGACTATATGTCTAATCTGCCTCAACAACTTGTAAACTTCTACCAAAATCCATTAGAAAGGTGTGTAGGCCTTCATATTGTCTAATGGTTTGTTTAACATATTGCAAGTCATATTCAAAGAATTATAATCTTTTTTGAAGTGGCCTTAACAAAGAATTCCCAAATCCTCAAGGATGTAAGGATAACATAGGAGGTATGAAAACATTGTTGAGGGATGAGTTTATATGGTTACATCACTAATGACATGTGCGGATCCACATCAACAAGGGCCCATAACACTCACTTTCTATATTGGACATGCAGTTCCTATTTTCTATTAATTGCTACAAAAGAGTCAACATCGCCAGCAACAGCACCCGACATTATTCTCGTGTACATTGCCAAGAGTGGCATTTTCGCTAGGAATGATACAAACATGTCCTGCTTCAGCAGCATTCCCTTACACATGGCCAAACACGGCCACATTATTTGCGCAACATGGCTGGGTGTTTTTAACGGTCATGTCCGTTATAGCGATGTTTGCTGGTACATAATTTGGTTCCCAACAATGGATAAAGAGCCTATTTTGCTGCATGGCCCCCATCAACAGACAACAGGCTGATCTTCTTATATCTACACAGCTCTCAGCAATGGACAAAGGGTTAGATTTACTATCTCATTTAGCCTCTAACAATGGGCAAAAAGCTACACATTTCTATATATCTTTATGTCACCAGTTCCCAACAACGGACAATGAGTCAAATTTCTACATATTCTATTTTACTGGCTCCTGGAAACAGACAAAGAGTCAACGCAACTAGGTACGATTAGCGTAAGGTCGATAACAGTTGCAACCCTGCAATCGGATAGTATGGCTACCCTCCAATGACAAAAATCCATCAAGTAGCGGCAGACGGTCCCTTGGTGGTCACCCGTCCATGGTGGTGCGGTGCCCAGCAAGCAACAACAACTAGGATCACCCTCTGACGATGCAAGTACGACAAGAAGGGCCAACGTTTGTCAATGGTATCACACCTTGTCATATCGGAGGCCATGGATGCGGCTGGCGTCCCCCTTCCATGGAGACAACTCCACCTTTCTCTACATGTATTCAT